CATTGTCCAGCTTTCACACACATATGAGGAAACTGAAAAGACAATGGATTAGGTCAGGTGCACCTTAGTCTTTAAAATGACATCTTTGCTCTTTAAGAGGTCTTTTTCAGTGTATTTGCCTAATGCAATAAAATACATCATTTGGTTCTTGATTGCTGCTTCCATGGGCACTGATTGTGGATCCAAGTAAAATGAAATCCTTGGTAACTTCAATCTTTTCTCCATTTATCATGATGTTGCTTATTGTTGTAAGGATTTTTGTTGAAGTGTAATCAATACTGAAGGCTGTCATCTTTGATCTTCACACTATGTGCTTCGAGTCTTCTTCATTTTCAGCAAGCAAGGTTGTGTCATCTGCATATCACAGGTTGTTTATGAGTCTTCCTCCAATTCTGCTGTTGTGTTCTTCATATAGTCCAGCGTCTCAGATTATTTGCTCAGCATACAGATTAAATAAGTATGGTGAAAGGATTCAACCCTGACACACATCTTTTCTGATTTTAAACCATGCAGTATCCTCTTGTTCTGTTTCAGTGACTGCCTATTGGTCTATGTGTTCATTTTTCTCCATGGAGTGGCTGGTGGCTTTGAACTACTGATCTTTTGGTTAGCAGCCCAGTGCCACCAGAGCTCCTTTTTTTTTTTTTTTTTTTTGTCTAAATCCCACTGCCATCAAGTCAATTCTGACTGAGTCAATTCTGACCAAAATTAAGTGTTCTAGAATTCCCATTCTTTGCAATGTTACCCATAATTTGTTATGATTCACACAGTCAAATGCCTTTGCACAGTCAATAAAACAAAAGTAAACATCTTTCTGGTATTCTTTGCTTTCAGCCAAGATCCATCTGACATCATCAATGACTCTAGGTATACTTACTGCTACCAGGGTGTCACTACTTCTAGACGCTGTCAGCTGACAGAAGCAAGGACATATATGTATGTATGCTGACCCAGGAATATACACATATCTATAAATATTTCTATATATAACCGTCTTTATCTCTATTAAGCTAAGCATGAGTTCATACTGATGTCTCCAACTCTAATCCATTATTACATGGATCATTCTGGCCTTCTCCTTTTGCTTATCTGTAGCCTCACACTCCAACAATGAGAAACTGGCTCCTGCTGCGAAAAGGATGTGGAGGCAGCATCTTCTGACCTCTAACTGCACAAGAGTAAGACAGAATCACCATCAGCAGCCCAAAGCTTAATCCTATGAGGTCAGACATGCCACCACCCTCCAACGTTTTACCAATTCTCATAAGAACCATCCCTCCCACAGCACTCACTACTTCTCTGCTGGGTTTGATAATTTGTTACAATGGCCGCACAGAACTCACAGACAATACTCATGATTATGGGGTTTATTAGGAAAGCAATAGGCTACAATTCAGGTTCAGGAACACGCCCAGGATACAATTCTTCAATCAGGACAGCATCCCCTCTGCTGTGCCCTCAGACACACATCTCTGGCCCTTAGCCTCTCCGCCTGGCCTCTGCCCTGCTCAAGCAAGTGTTACAAAGCTCTTTTAGCTCTGCTGGTAGATACACCTAGATGCACCCCACTCCAACAGCAAGCTCTGCCCAAGGGCACTCAGCTTTCTTGCTCCATGGACCAGGTAAGCCCGCTGCTCTGTCTCATGCCTCTTGGTTCTACGGCCTCCATCTCTCTGCCAAGGTGTCTCTCTGCCAGAGCATGTCTCAGGCAAGGAGGTCCAGCACAGGGATCTCAGGTCCCATGATGTGCTCCACTTCACCTTCAGCTCTTTCCTCTTGATGGCAGTGAGATTCCCCCCTCTGCCTGTAGGAAGGCTCATTTTAAGCCTGGCAGAGTGGCAAAACTAACCGATCCCAATATCAGAGTTCTATACCCCTTATTTGCATGGTCCCACCCAGTAATCTGGTGGTAGTTACAAAGACTATGGCTAGAAAACCCATATCAAATAATTCACTGTACCACACCATCTATTTACTCAACTGTTCAGTTCCAGTTTTAAAAAGATCTATGCATAATGGTATTAGAAATGCTACCCTGTACCTCATGGGAAACAACTTTATCAAATATAATACACTGTTTATGTACAATATCTTTTACCTACAGTCCTACAGACTCTGCTCATTTCCAAAGTTACTTAGGTCAGCACCTCTTTTCCCCACCCCTTCAGTAATGTTGTTTCATATATTTGTAATACAGGCAGTTCCTAGAATATGAATGAGATCCTTTCCTAGTGTGTTTTTAACAATTTGTGGGTTATTCAGAACAGGTGTATAGGGTTCTTCTTTAGCCTTACTTCGGTTAAGAAAGGAGGTTTGGTAAGGCATTTGGCTGCTAACCAGACACTCAGTGGTCCAAAACCTACCAGCTGTTCTGTGGGAGGAAGATGAGACGATCTACTTCCGTACAGATTTACAGCCTTGGAAACCCAATGGGGGTCATCATCAGCCAGAATCGACTCAGTCAGAATCGACTCGATGGCAGTGGGGTTTAGTCAAAAAAAAGAGCTCTGGCGGCACTATGGTTAAAGCACTGGGCTGCTAACCAAAAGATCAGTAGTTCAAAGCCACCAGCCACTCCACAGAGAAAGATGAGGCAATCTGCATCCATAAAGATTTACAGACTTGGAATCCTATGGAGCAGTTCTCCTCTATCCTACAGGGTCTCTGTGAGTCAGAATCAACTCCATGGCAGTCTGTTTGTTTTTTGGTTTTATACCAATACTATTCTGCCATTTGTGGGTAATATATACACCTTTTTAGTTTTAATAAATGTGGACTCTATGCCTTGGAGGCAAAAAGTTTTACCTACTTAACACAATTCTATTTATAAGGTACTGTGACCCTGTATTCAATTACTATTCACTGATAACACTAAGGAATTATTTCTGTCTAGCAGCTTGGGATCCCTAGGCATTCTGAAGTGCTTAATGTATCCAAGTAGTTACCTGTATGTACTTAGATTTATTCTTATGCATGTGGGGAGAGTTCACTGACACATAAAATTCTCTCCCGCCATCAAAAAAAGAGGAAATATTGTTATAGGGTTCCTTTTAAAAAACAACATTTATTATTCTTGTAAAGCTACATAAATGATATTTATTTACTAACATATGGTCACCAACTCTCAAGGAGATAGTTTAAGCCCCTGCCGTGGTCATCTATTCTATTGAATTATCAAAAAACGAGACACCAAGAGTAAATTCACAAAGTCAGCCTTTGCAGGAATAAAATGTGCCAAAGGACTTCTTTAGTTTCTTATGGAAATCAGCATGTATCTATAACTCATTTCACTCAGTGTTTTTACATGTAATTAAATTCTCAGGTCTAATCTCTTTCTTTGTAGGGAGCACTTAGGAGAAAGTCATGATTGAAGCAATTAGTAGCATTTCTTCCAAATAACTGTCAGTAGTTTCTTCTTCCCTATTATTCTAGTTTAAAAAGGAAATATCTGGAAGTACATACACTACAATTTCCTAGTTAAATATTCAGAGACAGTATATCATTAAATCCTATCAAAATTTAATAATTTCAAAAATATTTAAAAATATAATAAGAACACCTGTCTTTTTCCCTGATGGTCTCCAAAGAATATTCAATAAGTTATCCTATAAATAAATCAGTATGCTTTTGTACTGATGTAAATTTGTTATCAACCCTGCAATTTCTCAAAGGCTGCCTAAGACTCTAGCAGGAATAAGACAGGAAGTTGAACTCATTTTGAGTAAGGCAGGAGACCAGAGCAGGAGGTAAGATTAGAAGACAATGAGTAAGATAATTAGAGCTCAAAGTCAAAGTGATGCTTCAAACAAGATCCAAACTTTATGTTTGTTTGTTTGTTTGTTTGTTTTTAAGGGGTAAGAGATATAAGCAACTGACAGAGACCACTGCTTCAACTGAGAGTCCAGCTCTGGTAGCATAGTGCGTAAGGCATTTGACCGCTAACCAGAAGGCTGACAGTTCAAACCCACCAGCCACTCCTCAAAAGGAAGACTGGGCAATCGTAGAGATACCACCTCGGAAACCCAAGGAGGGGTCACTAGGAGTTGGATTTGCCTCAACAGCAGTGAGTTTACTTTTTTTTATCACCATCAAAGGCTTTCAAAACAAGCTAATTGAGATCAACATTCCTCTTTCCAAGCTCTGCAATAATTACCATATTGAGTTTTCAGTGAATTAGCACAAAGAAATAGGTGAAATAAAGAGAAATCAATAAAGTTTGATTTCAAAATTCTCAAATTCTGAAAACTTTGAACAACTGTTGGCAATAAGAAAAGGACAAATGATGTGTGTGCCTAAGTGCATCCCCTGGAAACTGATGGCTCATCAATTCCTCCTCCCACACTAGACACTTAGGGCCTGCCTGGCATCAAACACCAAGTAGCATGGCCAAAGAGGCAAGTGTGCAGTGTCAGCAGGACTGATAGTCAATGCTCTCAGAAACAGATGTGTCAAATGCTTTGGGGTTCATGTTATACGACAACTGAGAAAATCCTCTGTCTCTGCCACGAGACAGTTACTGTAAGGAATTCACAAAGCAGAACAGGTTTTACTTGGAAGCACTTTGTCAGCCTTCCCACAATTCAACTTGACAGCAGCCTAACCTCTCAGAGTATATGAAGGATCTTTAAGAAAGTATTTGCTCCAAGATACTCCCGGGTTGCACTGAATGTCTCTGGCAGAGTTCTCAATGGAAAGGTAGGCTCAGCATTGAATCATTAGGCTCACTTCCCAATTTCCTAACTCAGAAATATGAGGGCTTAATAAAGTAATCTTCTCATCTTGACCTAAGGGAGGTAATCTGATCAGAGTTTACTATGCCCAGGAATTTATCTGCTTTAATGCAGGGCTAAGGGTTTGAAGCTAGATGGGTAGTGCCACAGAATGAACAAGAGCATCGGTGCAGAGTTGGTCCCAGTTTGAGAGCATCCCAGCAAAGGCCCGTCACCCAGTGTGGGAGATGAATGGGCGGGCATGGGCTATGGCATGCTCGGGTGACCTACCTGCCACTCTGGTCTGAGGTCCACGTAACTGATTTTCCCTCAGGTTTGGTTCTGTACCATATCCTTATGGCATGAGGAAAGTCAGTAGATGTCTGAGCACCTGTCTTCCTGATCTTTAAGCTCCACATGTCGGTGGCAAACAGGAGTTCCCCACAGCCAAGAGCCTGGCTGCAGCGAGCATAATAGTCTAACTGCTCCCTCCATCGATCTGCAGGCAGAGTCACAAGTTCATGTACAATTTGATTCCTGAGCTCCTCAGAAACAACTGTGAGCTGGAGAGAACTTGTAAATTTTTCAATACCTGGCACAGCAGCAACATCCACCTCCTCAACCTTTAGCACAGATAAATCACAGCAGTCCAACACTAGCAAAAAATCCTCACTCCCATGATTCCCTGTGTCACAGCAACACTTTGAACTAGAAATCCCAGAAGCCTGTTCCTCGTTGTCATGGTTACCGTCTTTATCAGAACTATCTTTTTCACCTTTACCACAGATTGCAAAATCATCATATCCCACTTTAGATGAGAAGGTCCTTGTATCTGTCACAAGAGTATGGCAGGGTTCAGACGTCTTAAATTCACGAACTTCCCTTGACTCGGATGGGCAGGTTTCCTTAAGGGAACTACTCCGTTTCTTGAGTCTGTTTCCAGAATCAAAAAAAAGCACTATGGTGCCCTCAATGACGCGACTTTCGAAGTCCACGTCCAAATCCAGTACATAGTGCTTCACAAGGATGTGGCTGGTGTTGGCCATAAGAGGCAGGTCATCTCGGGAAAGGTCCAGTTTTATGTCCATAATGTAGTTTGTTGTTTGAGAGCTTTGTTAAACTCTCAGAGATGGCTTCCTATCTGCCTCAGTCTTCTGGAATCATAAATGTCTGCTTACGAAAAGCTACCTGATGTCACAAATTATGGTTCCACAAACCTTCAGTCCCCTGGCAAAGAAGAAAAACACAATTAGACAAAATTTCAAACAAGACCCTAAATGCTTCTGCAACTGCTGTTCCTGCAAGTTGAGGACCTTCCTTAAATAATCCCCTAAGGTGTTAGATGCTCATGGTGGGAAACCACACTAATCTTCTTGACTGACATCAAAGAAAGTTTCATGATGGGTTTCTAAAAATATTTCAATTTGAAATGGGCTCCATAAAGCCAGAAGAATTAGGCTTCCAGAACACTCCTTGTTTTGGAAAAGAGCAATTGTTATGCAAAAGTGTAACTGAGGATCACTTTGCATCTTGTTTTAAAAGATATTAAATGTATCATTTCTAATTTTGTGCATCAAAAGATAAGTGATTGTTTCTCTACTGTGATTGTAAGTAACAAGTGTGAATGAAGGCTAAATGGCTTTATATGTTTTATTCTTTGAGAGTAATAATGTAATACATACAATGTAACTCCAGGGATTAATGTACTTTTCACATTAGGGCTGCTCTCATATCAGCACTTCCAGTAAATTACAGGAAAATGAGCCAATTTACCAGGAGTGCATTCTAAGTATTCCTTTGAGATATTCATGGAGATTTTTCAAATTTATAGTTAAATACTCAAGGTATATCATTACATCTTAATAGCTGAAAAGCCATTAACATTCTGGATAATAACCTTCTTGTGGCAAACAAAAGGTCTTCTCATTTAAAAAAAGAAATATGCAAATATCCATAAAGGGAAGAGAGAAATTAAAATGTAGAAACAGATATTGTAATAAAATGTCCAACTTCATAAAAGTTCTGAATAAAAATGTATTCCTATTTTATAATAGGAATCTGACTAAAAGAAAAATTATTTGTAATTATTTCAGTCCCTGTTGTCTACTTAATTTCTTTCAGCATATGCTGTTTTCTTTTTTCTTTATTTTAATTCTTTTATCAAAAATGAAAAGAAAGCAGCAGGGGAACAGAAATAAAAACTCTTGACAGATACATTTTAAGTAATTTTTGTATTTCTAAATACCAGGAGGTATTCTTTTATTGTCCACAAAACAACGTTACTTGCTTGGCTTTTCGAATAAAATGGAAGCCTCTCTTATTCTGGTTTAACTCCGCCTCACCTTCCTTCAACCTCTATCTGCCTCTCCACTAAACCCTTTTTCCCTACCCTCTATAATCTCATTCTAGCAATCAATCCTATTGAATTTTCTGTTTCTACCTCTCCACAGGTTACTTCCTCATCAAGACCTTGCCTAGCCTAAATGTGACCACCTGCAGGGCTGGATAATCTGGCTTTCAGCAATTTTTCCACTCTTGGAGACCCATTCCCTCTACAACTTTGTCCTCTAGCCAAAGGGCCCATTCAAACCACCATTACCTGCAGGAGTGGTGCCCCACATCCAAGCCTTTTGAATTAACCTGTATTCCATACCTGGAATGCTCCTGTTTTCCATCTCCCATATCTACCTGCCCAAATACTAGCCCCCTCTAAGCCTCAGTTCAAGTGCAACCATCTACAGAAATCCTTCCCTGACCCCTACTTCCTCCCTCTACCACCCTTAAGTGCAATAAGCCCCAAAACTCAGTGTCATCAAGTGGATTTCAACTCACAGTAACCCTATAGGACAGAGTAGAACTGCCCCCATAGGGTTTCCAAGGCTGTAAATCTTTACAGCAGTAGACTGCGTCATCTTTTTCTCACAGAGGGGCTGGTGGGTTCTAAGGGCCAACCTTTAGGTTAACAGCTGAATGCTTTAACCACTGCATCACCAGAGCTCCTTTTATGTGCAATAGGACTTGAGAAATCAGTGATGCAAAGAACAGTGTGGGATTACTTTGTGAAGAAGCTGGTACTTCCATTCCAAACCAACTCACTGCCGTTGAGTCGGCTCCAACTCATAGTGACCCCTTCTTGGGTTTCCAAGGCAGTATCTCTACGTAAGTAGATTGCCCAATCTTCCCTCCGAGGAGTGGCTGGTGGGTTTGAACCACCAGCCTCCTGGTTAGCAGTCAAATGCCTTAGGCACTACTCCACCAACTTCCATTGTTGTTGTTGTTGTTGTTATGTGCCCTCGAGTCGGCCCCGACTCATAGCGACCCCTCCTTGGGTTTCCGAGGCAGTATCACTACGGAAGTAGGATTGCCCAACCTTCCTTCCGAGGAGTGGCTGGTGGGTTTGAACCGCCAGCCTTCTGGTTAGCAGTCAAGTGCTTTTAGCCACTATGCTACCAGAGCTCCCCATTAGTTCTTTTAAAAAAAGGGGGAGGGGATAAGGCAAGCTATTTTCTTTTCTGCATACATCTCAAAGAGTGATTGAACTTGTCATTTGAGACAAGGAAGACATATCAGCAAGCTTAATATAACCTTCAACAAAGCCATGGGCTATTACTATGTAATGAGAAACAATGGGTGTTAAAAATTCAATCTCTTGTTTGGGGCTGCCAACATGCAGAAATGTATTCACTAAGCTTTTTTAAAAACTGTATTTCAGAAAATTAACCTGAACACACACAGAGAAACAAAAGAGGAAAAGATGCATCTTTATAATCAACAGAGACAAAGATTAATTTAAAACTCCCTGTCAATTCCATCTCACGGTGACCCCATGTGTATCAGTAGAACAGTGCTCCACAGTGTTTTCAATGACTAGTTTTTCAGAAGTAGGTCACCTGCCTTTCTGCTGAGGAACCTATGGGTAGACTTGAACCTTCAACTTTTTCGTGAGCAGCCGAGAATATTAACTATTTGCATTATCCAGAGACTTAAAAAGTTAATTTAGTGGCTGTTTAAATTATCATATTTGAAGAATAAAAGTTTAACATTTATAACAATAGACATACAATCATGTACTGTTCATTTACTTCTGACAATTTATATAATTTAAGAATAAAATATGTTCTACAGAGCAGTTTTTGCCACGTTTGTCCCAGGAGGCAGAGAACTGGGCTGACTTAGAGTCCTAGATATGCACACCTACTAGCTTTCTCTGCTTTGTCACAGTTACCGTACATCCTTTGGTCCTCTTCAATGTTATTCTTAGAAACTTCCCATAGTGGCCATTCAAAACCTTTTCAACTTTAAACTTCCCAATTCTATGCCTGCTGTCTCATGCTTAGGAGATTGCATTACCTCCTACTTTACTGAGATAATTTGGAATCTCTGGAATGCCATCATGCCTCAGAATATCTCTAGGTCTTCCCAACTAGTGCCTTCCTCTGACCCAAACAAAACAATATCCCTTCTCATCAAAGCTAACTCCTTCATGCTGCATCCCAATTTTTCGAGTGTCGAGAGAGCCAAATACACAGCACTCTTCTTTCCCATCCAAGTTCTAAACACAATGAGAAACAAGACAAGGACATAGCTTGTTGTTGTTGTTGTTGTTTGCCATCGAGTCGGCCCCGACTCATAGTGACCCCTCCTCGGGTTTCCGAGGCAGTATCACTACGGAAGTAGGATTGCCCAACCTTCCTTCCGAGGAGTGGCTGGTGGGTTTGAACCGCCAGCCTTCTGGTGAGCAGTCAAGTGCCTTAGGCACCATGCTACTAAACACAATGAGAAACAAGACAAGGACATAGCAGAAGGGGATAAAAAGAAAACCATTATTCCTCATGACATAACTGGAGAATATGGCTAGTGTGAGAGCTGAAGGTACCTGAAACCTGAACCTCAAATATTAGGTGATTTGCCCACATAGTCACAGGCAAGGCCAGATGTGGCCAAAATTCGGAGAGGAGGTGGCCTCCCAAGGCCTGGAGGAGTAGAGGAAAATGGCTCTCTGTGGTCAGGATTGCTGCAGAGTAGACCACTGTGATCCACAGCATTTTCATTGGCTGATTTTCATTGGATACCCAAGCTTTTCTTCCTAGCCCATCTTAGTCTGAAAGCTCCCCTGAAACCTGTTCAGCATCACAGCAACACAAGCCTCCACCGATGTATGAGTGATAGCTACAGCTTGAGGAGCACTGGCCAAAATCAAACCCTTCCCTGGTCTCCCACATGGAAGGGGAGAATTCTACCACTGAACCGCCAAAGTTCTCTCCACCTTCTTTGGCTAGACGTAAAGGTCCAGACACCAGGAGTGTTACCCTGAATAGCGTAACATCAGAAATGGGAAACATCAGCAATGGGAAAGAAGCGTTCCCCTCCAACACCATCTCCTCCCACTAACTTGGGGCCTTCTTTCTTCATTTATGTTTTTCTCTTGCCAACACTGTCTCCCTCTCAATGATTCCATGCTATTCTCAAAGTTTCAAGCACCCCAAGCATTGCCATCTTTAAAAACAAACAACAAAAACTGCATTTGGTCCTACTGCCCATTATAACTAGTCTGATTTTATTGGATTTTGGAGCTGAAAAAGCCCTTAGGGGTCATTTAGTGGAATCCACTAGTTTTACAAATGAAGACATTGCAGCCCAAGAAGTAAAGCAATTTGCCCAAGGTCACCCATTTCTCTTTTCATTTGTAAGAATGGAAACTCTTCCACTTGCTGGTGTTTCTCCTTGGAATTTCATTCTCTAGCTCTTAAGGCTATATCCTTCACATTGTCCAAGTCCTAAATAAAGTGCCACCTCCTTTACCCATCCTTCCTTTTTTATCTTGTTCATCTTCCATAGACTACTGATCAAGTCTTAATATAATAATGGGGGGGGGGATTTCTAAGTCAGCCCCAAAAGATTTAGTATATTACTGACACCTTTACATGGCTTCTACCCTAAGTTATGTGTAATATGTAAATCTATTATAACTTGTTATTAATTACACCTATTTCCTACTTGTCTTTGGATTTGTGGTGACCATAATCTCACTGATGTCAGTGAGGGTCATAGTCCCCCACAGGAAGAAATGAACTGACTGCAGTTGCAAAGTCATGTGTGTGGCCCTCCTGAGAGGCCTCTCAGCAAATACTGTCTTTCTAAGCAGTCAGCTGACTTCAGCACTTTGGCAATTATTGTGCCTCAATTTAAAATGCCAGCTGTCTCACTGAAGCACTTTTCCATTCCCT